TCCTGTGTGGAAACCTAATATTCCATTTGGGCTAGGTCGATTGCCTGGCCAAGGACTACCCCTAGGAAGGCAGCATCACCTTCAGAAGCTCATAGAGACTACATTCACAAACACTCTCTTGGTTACTTTAGAGAGTCTTTACAAAGTCAGCATGTGCTGGCTGAGTTTTAAGAAAAAAAATGAAAATATAATAAAAAGGAGGAATAATAAGAAACTTTTTTCCCCCATCAAAGGAGGCTAGGCTGCCAAAGACCAATATTCCACAATCTCTCCCCACCTTGTAAAACTTTAAAAGAAATTCAAAATGTTTGTTGTTGTTTTGCTTTTGTTTATTGAGACAGTTTCTCACTGTGCAGTCCTGGATCACCCAGGAATGTAGGCAAGGCTGGTCCTCAATCCACAGAGATTCATCTGTCTGCCTCTCAAGTGCTGGGATTAAAGGAATGAACTAATGCATCATGCTAAGAATTCAAATATTTTAATCTCCCCTACTTGTAAAACTTCTGCTTATCCAAAGACCCTGCTGCATTTCCATAACATAATGGCCCATTCTTCCTTTCCTCTATGTCTTATGGGCCGCTTTCCAAATTAGTCAATCAGGAGTAGATGGTGATGCCAAACCTCAGCCAATGAAAAACAGTCAACTATCCCCTTATATCAGTTTTGAATTAAAGACAGAGGCCATCTTGGTTACATGAAATACTTGCTAGCCTGGTTTGGGTCATAGCATACCCTGTTTGCAAAAAGAAACTGTGGGTTACTTCCATTTGGTTCATATGTTTCTTTGTTCAACACCAAGAATATATTTTCCTATCATTACTGTGTTAACTTCTTGCATGAACTGAGAAACATGTCCATGGCTCTCCAAAGCATATCTGGTAAGGTAACAAAACAAAGTACTGCCTTTCAAAGTTGAGTTCAAGCTGGGCACGATGGCACACACCTTCAATACTAGCACTTGGGAGAGGCAGAGGCAGGGGAATCTCTGTGAGTTTCCAGCCAGCCTGGTTCACAAGAGCTAGTGCTAGGATAGGCTACAAAACTACACAGAGAAATCCTGTCTTGAAAAAATGTATACATTTTTCATGTATACATGAAAAAATATGTATATTACTCCTGTAGTAGGAAATGGAAGAGACTGTAGTTAACATCTG